TTTGCTTCGCTCGTTCTGGAGAGGCTGCTGGGGGCAGGGGCGCGTGGCCGGCAGTCCGAGCATCGGCTTGGTTTCCGCGGCGGAAAGAGCACGCTGGACGCAGTCTGTTTTCTGCGGAGACGGATCGAGCAGGCATGGGCGCTGAAAGGCTGGAGTCTGGCCTTTGACTGGAAGCAGGCTGTCGATTCAGCGAAAATTTCTTTGATGCTCGCCGCTCTTGAGAGATTCGGCGTTGCCGCGCTCGTACTGGAGGCCTTTCGGAGCAAAGGCAGAGACCGCGCTTTGGTTGTTCGCGACAAGTGTTCCATGTCGGAGGAGACGGGGCCAGCGGTCAGTTATCTCACAGGGTTGCCCGCTCTCGCCGACTCTTTTCATTTTGGTCATGCTTGCTGTGATCGGCGACGCGGAAGCAGCCTTGCAGCCGGCGCGGCTTGGCCAGTGCAGATGACTCATGCATGCGGGCGACGCTCGGCTCATGGCCCGGACCGTCGCTGACACTCAGGAGTGGCTTGAAGCTGTCAGCGAATCGGCGGCAAACGTGGCTGGAGATGCAGCGGGGGGAGCTGCGGTGACTGAGGGTCCGATGCGACGGGCGCGTTCGCGCGCCAGCAGGCGAAACCATCGAGGCTACCACCGTCAGCAGCGATGGCCTGGCAATCACAGAGAACGAGGCGAACCTGCATGGCCTTCGCTGCGTTCGGGAATCCGAAACAGGCCTGGGCGCTTGAACGGGGCGCCTGAACGGGGCGCTTGAACGGGGCGCTTGAACGGGGCGCTTGAACGGGACGCTGCAGAGCGCGGGCGCTTGAACGGGGCCCGAGCCGAGATGCCGAGGTCCATCGGTCGGGCCAAGAATTCCAGGATCTCCCGCGCATCCAATGACGAGGTGCGCCGGATGACAAAGCGGGGCCCCGTCGCCGATGCTTTGCTCGAGCGCTGGCTGGATCTGTATTCGTGGCTGCCCTGGGGCGATTCTGAATTTCACCCTGGGGCCCTGGCGCGAGTGAGCGACGTGTGCGGTCGGAAAACCGGGGCGCCCATGCTAGAATGGACATGACAAGTGCATCCACGCGCTGATCGAGATCGACAAGTCTGTTGTGCTCGCCTGGGCCGCGCCGACGCGCGTTGACACGCATGGCCCTCCCTTTCCTTTCCATTCCTGTGGTTTCTTTCCCTTTCTTTTCCGTTTCCTTCCTTTCCTTTCCCTCGCTTTGGCGCGCCCCTCGCGCGTTTCGTTGCCCCGTGGGGGGCTCCGCCTGAGGCGCCAGTGGCTGCGTTCGCATGCCCCCCCTTCCCCCTCCTCCCTCTGGCGCACTCCTCGCGCGCTTCGTGGCCCCATGGGGGGCTCCGCCCAAGGCCCGCGTGCTACGGCCTGCGTGCGTCCCCGCCGCCAATTTCGACACGCGCCTTGCACGTTTCGTTGCCCAATGGGCAGTTCCACCCGAGGCCTAAATGGTGCCGCCCGCGTGCGTTTCCGCCGCCCATTTAGGCACGCCCGTTGCATGTTGTGTGGCCGCACAGGGAGCTCACCCAAGGCCCGCATGGCGCCGCCCGCATGCGCCACCAAATTCGGTGCCCCCCTCATACGTTTCGTTGCCCCAATGCGAACTCCACCCAAGGCCTGCACGGTGCCGCCCGCATGCGTCCCCGCCGCCCATCCCGCCACACCCCTCACGCGTTTCGTGGCCCCGCAGGGGGCTCCACCCAAGGCTCACATGGTGCCGCCCGCACGCATACCTACTACATATTTCGGCGCATTCCCCACACGTTCCGTGGCCCTGCAAAGAACTCTACCCAAAGCCCAAATGGCGCCGCCCGCATGCGACACCGCCACCCATGTCCCCCCCCCCACACACACACACACACGTTTCGAGACCCCCAAACGAATTTCACCCAAGGCTCAAATTTTGACGCCCGCATGCGTCCCCGCCATCCATGTCGGTCCGCCCCTCGCACGTTTCGTGGCCTCACAGGCAGCTCCACGCACGGCGCAAATTGCGCTGTCCGCATGCGTCCCCGCCACCATTTTTGGGACAACCTTCCAACTTTTCGTGGCCCCACAATGGGGCTCCATCCAAGGCTTTACGTGGTGCCGTCCGCCTGCGTCCCCGCCACCCGTGTTGGCACACATTTCGCACGTTTCGTGGTCCCCCAAAGAACCGCACCGAAAACCACAATGGTGCCGTTCGCATGCGTTCCCGCCACACAGTGCGGCACACGCTTCACACGTTTCGTGGTCCCATAAGGACGTCCACCCAAGGCCTAAACGGTGCCGCCCGCATGCGTCCCCGCCACCCATCACGATACGCCCCCGCGCGCGTTTCGTGGCCCAACAGGCAGGTGTACCCAAGGTGCCACTTGCGCTCTTCGCATGCGTCCCCGCCACCAATTTCGGCGCACACGTTTCGTGGCCCCATAAGGAGCTTCACCTGAGTCCTCACGGGTTGCCGTCCGCATGCGTCCCCGCCACCCATGTCGGCACACCTTTCGCAGGTTTCGTGGCCACACAGGGAGTTCATCGAAAACTGAATTTGCACCCCCCCCGCGTGCGCCCCCGCCACCTATTACGTCACACCTGTTAGACGATTGGTGCCTTTAGCTCCACAAAAAAAGGCTCCAGTGGCGACGTGTGCATGCGGTCGCCCGCCAATTTCGGCGCACCTTTCACACGGTTCATGGCATTACAGGGAGCCCCACTCAATGTCCCACCGTTCGCGTGTGCCCCCTCGCCCATCCCCGAATAGTTTCCCACGTTTCGTGGCCCCACAGACAACCCCACCCAATGTGTCATGAAGATATCCAGTGAAAACGATATGCGCAACGACGGTATTCACAACTGCGTATGGCTGGGTCTTCCGCCAGGATAATTTTCACAACGCGGTTCCCGAGAGGTCTGTCTTGAGGATACTGTTCAGAGGAGGACAAGTTACCCATACCGCTGCCCTTCCCTCGTTTTCGCCTTTTTGGGCCTCCTGGGAGGCCCTCGTCGCCGCCATTGGATTCGCTCTGACATTCTGGTCAGAACGCACCCAACGACAGGTCCGGGAAGTAGCAGTATCGGTACCTCTCGTTCCCCAAACAGTTTTACTCGGTGAGTCAGTAACGTCTGTTGCGGGTTGTTGTTCCCCCTGGGAATGGTTTTTCATCCCGCGTTTTTTTTATATTGTAGATTCAGGCGAGTGTATTTGCATGGCGTTCCCCCCCCAGCCCTTCCCCCCCTCACCGCAGAATTTTCAAGCAATGCCTGGCCAAAAATACGTGCACGTGAGTCCTGGCTTGCGTGAGATCCATATTCCCTTTCGGGCCTTGCTAGCCCGACCCCCCTCCCCGCTCCATGCAAGAAAAACGCTGCCTCTTTTCGACGGCCCCATGGCACAGTGAGGGCCTCCAGAGGCCAAAGATTGCGGGACACCTCCCGTCGCCGTCGTGATCTCATGTGTGTGTGTGTGTGTGTGTTTTGTTTCTTTCCCACAACGAGAGGAGGTGGGGCTCTGCCCCCCGGAGCCCCGCCTCCTCTCGCTGATCAGGCATGTGGGGGAGCACGCAGTGGAATGAGGGCCGGGAAGCCGTCAGGCCCTCAGAGGGGGGAGGATGGTGGAGGAACCAGAGCAGGAGGAGGAGGAGGACGAGCAGGAGGAGGATGGAGAGGAGGAGGAGGAGGAGGAGGAGGAGGAGGAGGACGAGGACGAGGAGGAGGAGGAGGAGGAGGAGGAGGAGGAGGAGCACAAGTTTTTTGTTGTTGATCTCGATGCTGATTGTGCAGTGAGCTTGCCCGCAGAGACTTGCGCGCAACTCGCAGAAGATTCACGAGATCCAACCTTTGCGCTGGAACCACCAAGTGAGGCAAGCTCAGCACAGCACGAATGAACCCCGCATAAGGGCGGACGGGACGCGTCGAACCGAGGGGGAGGGAGAGGAGGGAGGAGGGGGGCGGGGGCTCTACCGCCGCCGCCGGCGCCGCCCGCCGCCGCCGGCGTCGCCCGCCGCCGCCCCCGCAGGCCACTGCCAGCGGCCGCCGGCGGCAAGCCCTTCTGCTGCACGGCCGCGCCGGACGGCGAGGGCCAGCCGGCCATCCCACCCACCGACAGCGGCGACAGCGGCGGCGGGGAGGGGCGGAGGGGAGGAGAGGGGGAGGGGGGGTAGGCAAGCTGGGTGCGCTCCCGCCTCATCTGACCTCCTACCTCTCCCTCTCATCCCTTCCCACGGCGCTGATTTCTCTCTCTCGGCGGAAGCGTGTCATAGCCGACCTGTGACTCACACAGAAAGGCCATTTCGTGTTATGCGCAATCCGAAGAAGGGGAGCTGCGTGCGCATAAGGAGGTGGCAGGTGAGCAGGAGAATGAGCGGGAGGAAAAGGATGAGTACGAGCAGCACGAGCAGGAGCCAAAGGAGGGAAAAGGAGGATCAGGGGAAAGGTGGACGAGGGGAAATTCCAGAAAACTGGCCCGCGCTTGGGCGAGACGAACAGCAGCAGCAGCAGCAGGAATTGGAGTGGAAGGAGCGGGAGGAACAGGAGGACCAAGGGGAATGTTGCGGAGGGGAAATGAGGGGGGGGCACCATGAAGCAAGACTCGGATCCAGAATAGCGGCCCGCGCTGGGGCGAGAGCGCCATTCTGATCGACGGGAGCAACGCGCCGATCTGACAATGAGGCCCACTCTGCAGAGGGAACGCCACCTTTACACCGAGAACAAGTAATTTGTAAACAACCATAAGACGAAGAAACTTTTGACATACTGTGTGAAAAAAAACACGCTGAGGGGGCGGTAGATCTTCTGGACAACTTCAGGGGAGGAGGGAGAGCAATGTGCATATCGTTTTATTGTGGAGGAGGGGGAGGGGAGGGGAGGACGGGGGTAGGAGGGGGTGCGAGGTGGGCGGGAGGGGAGGGTGCAAGGTTCCCCTCCATGTTCCCTCCTCGGCGTCATTCTCTCTCCTTCCTCTGAGAGTTTGGACAGTCGGCTCACTCCTCAGAGCGAGATTCTGGTGTGCCCCCGCCAGGACGAGTCGGACATTTGCGGCACGTGCTGGGAGAGCGCCATGGCGCACGAGGAGAATTGGCGTGGCGCCCAGTGGATTTCCCGCAAGGCTCGGCGTCTGCCAACAGCCCATTGCCGCTGCCATCCCACTGCCTTCACCACTGCTGCCGCCACCATTACCACTAGCACCACACGACACATTAATGACATTTGTTCACTTGCAGGTGGTTGCTTGATTCCACACCAATTTGCTTACGCGCCTACGTGCCTACATATCAACACACCTACACACTTCCCCTGAGTTTATGGTGCTCTACCTGCTAGCCACCACTACTACCATCATCGTCTTGACTTCCAAAGCTACCAGGACCGCTACTATCCAGCTGCCTGCGGCAAACCCCGCCACCGTGCCTGTGCAGCAGCGCAACAGAAATGAGGCTGAGTATAGGAGGAACAACGTAATTCTTGGCGCTTCGCGTCCAGGACCGCCGCCTCAGGCCGAGCGGCGAAATTCGAGCTGCCGATCTGTTGTGCTCAGGGGCTGGCGGCGCCAGGGCGAGCCGACCGCCCGGCGCGCCGCCCAGCAGAAGGCCCAGCGAGGGTGACGCCTCTCCTCCTCCTCCCTCCCTCCCCTCCCTCGCGCCCCTGCGTGCGAGCCCACTGGACTGCATGCTCTCCCCCTTCCTCTTTCTTCCCTGCCTTTGTGTGTGTGTGTGTGTGCCGCCTTTTCCCTCCTTGGCTCTCGGTTTCCCTCGGCTCCCCCTTCCCTCTCTCCGTGCCTCCTTCCTTGCCCTTGTGGTGTGGTGTCTCTCCTCTTCCCCCCGGCTTCCCCTCCCCCCGTCGGTCGGCCTGCCCGTCCCCCCTGTCTGGTCGTCTCCCTCCCCCTCCGCCCCCTGGTCTTGGCTGTCGCTCCCGGCTCCCCGGTTTCCTTTGCTTGCCTTTGGCCCTCCTTGCCCTTGTCTGGCTGGCTGTTGTCGTCCGAATCGTGTCCAGATGGGCCTGAAGCACCGGCAATGTCGTGGGTGTGCTTCCTTCTCTTTGGCAAGCGTGCTGCTTGCGGTGTGGCGATACCGCCTGCTGAAGCGGGATTGGGGCAACTCATCGGTGCCGGACTTCCTGGGATTCCGGTTCCGTTTCGCTGCGCTCATGGGCTGGCGTTGCCGCGGCGACATTCCGCCCGGCGCGCCGTCCAGCAGAGATGCCCAGCGAGGGCCTTCCTCCTCTTCGTCGTCGTCCCCCACCTCGTCCTCGTCCTCCCCCCTCCTCCGAATGTGGGCGTGTAAGTTTGCGCGGCACAGGCTTGGTCTGACGCCCAGAAGTATTGCAGAGCAGGTTCACCGCACCATATCCTTAGACAGGTGATCGGCAATTGTCGACGGAGCTTTCCAGGGCGACGCGCCTGCCTGGCATGCCGCCTGGCCGCGACGCCCTGCGAGGGTGACCCCCTTCCTCCTCGTCCTCCTCCTCCTCCTCCTCCTCCTCCTCCTCCTCCTCCCTCCTTGTTGATTCGTGGTGCCACTCCGTGCTGTCTGCTAGGCGGCGACGTTCGGCGATGATGGGTCAGAGGCCTTTTGAGGGCACGGCGGATCCGAGTGTATTCGCTTTGAGTTTGTTCGGGGTGCTGGCGTGATCCGTGGTAGCAAGAGGCCCCCTTGAGGGCACGGCGGATCCGTGTGAACGCCCGCCGTCTGCGTCCATGCCGCTGGCGCGCACGCCGCTGGCGCAGATGCGACTGGCAGCTGTTCTCGTCCATGCAGCGGGTGCGCTCGCCGCAGGCACGGGCTGAGCTGGCAATTTTGTTTGCCCATTTAACTGTGCTGCCAGCGCGGGCCCCTTTGCAGGGAAGCGGACTCAGGTCTGGTACCTTGCATGTGTGGGCTACGGATTCGCTGGAGATTCGTAGCGCCGCGCGTGCAAAAAAAAACAGGAATGGATGATGGGCTGGCTGGATCCCATTGGCCAGCTACAAGAGGGCGTACTAACTGGCGACAGAAGGGCTGTAGAAAGCGGAGAAAGAACCCGGACGACTAGGAGAAATACTCGAGAGACCGGTGGGCAAGGAAACCTCGGAAGGAGGTCCCGCGCGCCACCGGAGACAGAACAACACCCAGAACACCACAACGCCCTGGCACATCGACATTCGGCAGATACTAGGAGAGGAGGCCGGCAGCCCAACAGGGCCCCCTGCCCCGGCGGGGTACAGGGGCGACACCATGGAGGCAGTAATTCGAGCCCTGGACGCTACACAAAGAGACGAAGAGGCTAGCGGCAGGTCGAGGCAACCCAACCGCATCGACCGAAGCTCCATCAGTGGAGCCGACGCGCAGTTATTGGCAGAGGGCTTACCGAGGGAAATGCAGCCACAGCTCGAACCAGGAAGCTGGATCGCCAGAGCCATCTGGCTATGCCTCGCGCCCCACTACATCCCCCTTCTACGACCAGTCCTACGTGTCCGAGAAATCGACGCCAGGCCGTGCTGAGTCCTCACCAGATGGATGCAACTCGCCGGCGTCCACGCACCCAACGACATTGGGGACGTCCTGCGCGAGGGGTGTGTGCAAAGCCCCATCCTATATACCCCTTCGAAAACGAACAGGTTCGTCTCCTACTCCGAAGCGCCGGCCTCAGGGCGTGTCACACCGAGGAAGAGGCCTCCTCCACGACCCGCCTCCTCATCGAGAGCATGGGGGCCTCCATCGCGAACGTTGCGGGGCCCCCTGGCGACGCCGAGCGTGTCGTGGGGGCCGGCGCACCCGAGCCCATGCCAACATGTGGTGCTGGGGATGGACCGCAACTCTGCTCCATTTGCAGTGGGGGCCTGAGCGGTGCAGTCGAGGTGCTAATTCTTTGTAGGCGCAGTTTTCACAGGCATTGCCTAGAGCAGTGGAGACAAAGCCAACCACAACTGTTCAGGGAAGGAGGAAACACCATGCCCATCCGTTGCCCACACTGCAGGGCTTACGACAGAAGCAGCATTGCAGCCGGCCTCCCTGGAGACCCCACCGCCAGCGAGCACCCTGGAAGCCTGCAATTAAGAGATGGGCTCCTCGCCCCCCTACTCCCTCCACTGAGGTTTCACGAGCTCTCAGACGCCATGCGCGCCCTGGCCTCAGAACTGGATTGCTTACGGGCGGACCCGGTCACCACCAGACGGCCAAACACGTGCGTCACGGTGCAGGACATGCGGAGGATTCCCGAGCACGTGGTCCTGCAGAGACCCTCCACCAGTCCAGAACCCAGCATGGAGGTCGACCAGGAAGGCACAGTGAACAGTCCCACAGACGAGGACGGCTTTGCCGGAACGCAGGATGGTGCGGCAGGAGCACAGGACGATGGCCACCGAATACCAGCCCCCCCATCCCGGCAGGAGAGGATGCGCGAGATCCCCCTGACCACCTATGCGAGGTGGGCGCTATTGCTGGCCATATTCCCACCAGACGATGAGAATCGACGGAGAGGGCCTCCATCCTTCCCAGTCACCCTTTCTATGGGAGCAGTCAGGGCGTTGAGGGCGGAGCTTGTCATCGCGCGGAAAACCCTTGTTGGGAATGGAGAAGCCGACAGCACTAGACTCACCATGGCCTTCGCCGGCCCAGGGGCATAGGAGCAAATCAGGGAGTTGATACGCTCCAAGATGGACGCGACTGACGAACAACAGACGATCCCCACCGTGTTGCTAGCCGACGCCCAGGCGTCACAAATCCAGGCCGCGCTGGCAGCCGCTGCCTCAGCCGGAGGACCATGCAGAATCTTGGCACTGGCAGCGCAGGTCGCCCCAACCCCCGGCGGCCCAGACCCCGTCGAGCTCGCCGCCTTAGCCAACTCCCAGTGGGGATTCAGGGCCGCCAGATCGCACACTTGGTGCCCATCGGCAACCCGGTTCGAGCAGGCAGAATGACCCCCCCCTGCAACGGCTGCTTGCTGCAGAGTTCTCGGTGGATTGCAGACCCCTAAGGACCCGGATCCCCCCTTTCCATTGTGGTGCACTGGGGTGGCAACAGCGCGGACGTCAGTGACGCTCTGCACATCCTAACACCGGAACGCTGCAATGATACGGTACTTGCACATATCACCAGATGGCAACGAGACCTAGAGGCCGCCGGGCCTAGCTCAGGAGGAGCTGACTGGGCCACGAGCAAGATCGCCCTTCCCAACGACGAGATGCTGCTGCGACCAGGACTGGGGCCGCTCTGCCACCGCGTAGTGCGTTGCCGCCCCGCTAGACCGACCGACAGGCAAGGCGACAATGACCTACCCTTTGAAAAGTTGCAGGTCGTGGCCCAGCAGTCGCTAATCACGAGCAATAACGGGTGCACATGGAGATCCAAAGAGGCCTCGGACTCGGTGCGCGTCCCGGTACTGAACAAGGCTATCTGCCTGGCCCATTCCATCGCCTCAGAAGCTGCAGCGGCCTTTGGCTACAGGGTCGGCTTATGTGGTGCGGGAATGCTGTTACAAAACGCCAGAGAAGATAGCAGCCCCCATCTTAAGGCACCTCAGAGAAGAGCTCCCAGGGGCCCTCGGGAGCAGCAGCGGCAGCCCAGCCCTCAGTCCCAGAAGAATTCTCCTGGAAGGAGAGTGGAATGGAGGACCCTCGTGTGCTAGACTGGCCGACCCGGAGTGCGCGTGTCACCTTGGATGGAATCTAGCAGACCTCGGGCAGTCCAGGCACCAGGGCGTCATCGACGCCATAGAAGCCACTGTCGGTACGGGCGCCGTAGAGCAGATCTCCACAGTCTATGCCTGGTTCCCCGACTCCGCAGACTACAGGCACATGGCTCAGGTGCGCGTGCGACTGACAGCAGCCGACACCGTGGCGGCAGCCTTCTTCGGGGCGAGCTGCGTCGCAGTTGGCCCACAAGTTATTCGTATATTCCCAGCCACTCCCTCAAGGGGGCAGATGAGACGGGACGGAGGACCCCCCCGCGAACGCCAAGAGCACGTCGAAGCCCTCGCCCAGGCGGCCGTGCGGCAGGCCCCAAGAAGAGCGGTCCATCCACAAATCCTAGAAATCACAGCCCGCGCCGACGCGGCGAGCAGATAGGAGGGGTGCAGGTTCGACGCGTGCGTCCAGATCCCTG